AACATAAATATGCCGTTTATTTCACCGTAAATTTCTGTAGCGGTTTACACTCGTTGGAACTGATGTTCAGTGACAAGGACGATTACTCTGAGAAATGCCGTATGAGACGACGCCACCGTAGAATTCAAATGAGAAGGCAGCACCACCCGAATCTATTGTCATATTTGGGGCAAGGAATTTTTGAAGCTGGGAAGATGGAAGCTTCTTCGTCTTCTCGTGAACCGGAGGCAACAGGACCGGTGGTTGGAGCAATTTCTATTCCGGGGAGGCAGCGTGTAATGGAAGATACAATTTCAATTCGACCTAATCTATGCTCGCCGGAGATCAATCGCTGCAGACCTGTTGATTTTTTTGCTGTTTACGATGGACATGGTGGACGTCATGTAAACCCTACGGTTATGTTTAATTTATCGAACAATTTCTTTTCCTTTTTTATTCCCTAATATCTTAAATTTTTAGGTTGAAATTTTTAAATATAGAAATACAGAGAAGAGATAATGTTCCTATGTCCTGTGTTAACACCTGAACTTATTTTATAAATAGTTTTCTACCCTTTTCGGTCTTTCGGTCTAAGTGACACAAGATAGTGCCACGTAGGCAGAAAAGGGACAGAAAATTATTTGAAAATTACAGAAAAGGGGGCAGAAAATTATTTAAAAGATAAGTTCAGGATAATAGAAACTTAATTTCGAGCGCATAGGTTGAGGGCTACTTCTACATTATCCCTGTAGAGAATAATAGAGTTCGTTTTATTGGTGCTGGGATTGGATCTTTTTCAAATGTTCTACTCTAGTTCTTTATATTAGGAATTGTGTAATCAAATTGAAGATTGTATTTGAAGACGATAGTAGCATAATCAACTTACAGCTGTTTTTCCTATTCAGGTAGCTTCAATGTGTAAAGAGAGAATGCATGAGGTACTAGAAGAAGAGCTGATGCGCATGAAAAACAACCAAGACACGGGACGACAACCATTGGAAGGGCAGAGGATGGAGGAAGCATGGAGAAGAGTATTCAAAAGTTGCTTCTTAAAGATAGATGAGATGGCATCATGCATATGTAGTGAATGTGGTAGTGTAGGCTACGAATGTGGCTGCCCGCTGAGCGTATTGAAACTCACAGGCTCCACTGCAGTGGTGGTAGTTTTGACGGATGAGACTATCATTGTAGCTAATTGTGGTGACTCACGTGCTGTTCTTAGCCGCAGTGGAAGTGCGATCCCTCTTTCTTATGATCACAAAGTATGTCTTCTCAATTCACAGTTATGCACTCACTAGATTCTTTAACCTTAGTAAAGAAATTAGACAATTAAACTTGCTGTGTTCCTTTTAAGTATTATTAAAGATACATTACTTGTCACCAGTTTATACTAGTTGATGGTTGAGCATATTTGGGTTCATGATTTACATTCAATTATTATTAACTTCATAGAGAGCATATGAAAGAATCATTAGTAGCTCACCTACTTGAAGAACATGAGGATTCCTAATGAAAAGCAACATGACTTTCTGTTGCAGCCAGACAAACGAGAAGAACGTGCCAGAATAGAGGCACGTGGAGGTCGAGTTGTGTTTACTGATGGAGCACGAGTTGAAGGAGTGCTTTCCATGTCCAGGGCAATAGGTAACTGCTTTTTCCTTTTGGAGAGCATGTTTAATTACTACGTGCAATGACATAATTGCAGTTGAGTTGCCAGTGGAAATATTACTCGTGGACATGCAGTAAAAGCTTAATGTGTGGTCTTGCTGAATTTCTGTTTCCAATGAAGGAAACTGGCATTAGAACTGTTGTTTCGTTTGTTTTTCCTTTTACGTACATCATCCCTTCCTTAAGAGGGTAGAATATTGCCTTCAGCTGCTCAGCAGCGACTGCTACTGTTGCTTCTTCAAGCAACAATATTTACTCTTCTATAAAGCAGCTGCAACCTTTTGTATCAGGCATCAACAAAAGATTGGAGACAGAGAAGACTGATTATTAGTTACATGATTTGCTAAACCACTATTTATTGTTTGCAGCTACAAGTGCCAAACTCACCCTGGCTTCTTAGTAAATTAGTTGTAGTCGTACAAATTCAGGCAATGTAACCATTGTACATTTGTGAATCTGTATCTCTTCTAAGGATACGCAAAGGAGATCAGTTGGGATTTATAGAAGGTCTATTTCCAATGTGTCAATTTGCAGCAGTAGGGGTAGTTGTCTACTTTGGTGCAAATACTATTGAATCTTCTGTTATATATCATTGCAAACAGGAGACAACAATTTAAAGCCATATATCACATCGGAGCCGGAGATGACCTTTACAAAAAGGGAAGCAGAGGATGAGTGCTTGATTCTCGCAAGTGATGGCTTGTGGGATGTGGTATCAAGTGATATAGCGTGTGCAGTGGGTAGGGAGTGTCTTCGACAAAGAGATCCATCTGGGAACTTTAGCTCCAGGCTTTCTTCCGTAGAAGGTGATAGCAGAGGAGCAATGTTTTCTTCACGAAGGGCATGCTCAGCAGCAGCGCTGCTCACCCGGCTTGCTCTGGGCCGGAATAGCTGTGACAATATCAGTGTTATTGTGGTGGACTTGAAAACAAACCACAGTGCTGTGTAGTTTCTAGAGCTAGAATGTAACATACGAGGCCCTTTTCGAGTTCTTTCACCGAATCAGGATAGTTTCCTCTTTTCTTGTCATTTGCAAGTGAGTGATCTTTTATATAATGAAGTTGACAATTCAGAAACAAACGGTAAAGGTTCTACTTAAAGATGAAACCTGTGTGGCTGACGTCTAGTTGAAAATGAAACTTAGATATCAGTTTGATTTTATTCTTACATAATTGTAAGCGTACTACAATATATCTGGTGAAATTTTACAATTTCAATCAACAATGGTTTATCACTAAGGGATCGTAACCAATATTAATAAGAACATTCATGATTTTTTCTCACCAAAACACCATAACTTCCTCATGCGGCCTCTTAAAGATTTTACCGGCACTAGTTAAGTGTCATTAGCATTAATATTGTTAAAGGCTTTCGGTATATATATAACGAGTGTTAATTGCTGATAAAAAAATATATTTAGCGATAATTAATAGTAAATTGTCTCTAATGATCATTTTTGATATAGTGAGATTATATTCTCTTTGGTTAATATTCAATCTCTGCAAGGCAAGTAACATAAACTGGAACCTTTTAACAATTTTTAAGCTATCGTACAACATTTAGATATATGACGACAATAATAACAAGAATGTTACAAATTCACTTTATTGTGGTTACAAATTCACTTTATTGTGTGGATGTTTATCTTAATCCATCCTAATGTAATGTATCTATTAATTGTATTAATTAAATATGTTTTAATGTATTTGTAAAATGTTGTAAAGGATGGTTGGAATGTCCAATAAAAGGGTAGTCTTTCACCCTTGTGAAGTACACTTGAGGAGAATAACAAAGCTCTCAATCTTTATGCTTGTCATCACCATTTGTCGTACCTTATTGTTTGTGTATTCTTGTATTTTCCTCTCGTTTTACAACACGTCTCTAACAAACTAAGACATACTTAATCGAAATTAATTCCTAAAAGTTAATCAACTTTCTTTCAAAGTCAATTTTCATCATGTCGAATTTCAAAACTTGAATTTGTGGCACTTGACATTTCTGGAAAGAATTATTTGTCATGGATACGTGATGCTTAAATTGACCTTACCGCTGAGGGTCTTGGTGATAGTATAATCGAAAGAAATACGACATCAAGTCAGGATAAAACGAAAGCTATGATTTTCCTTCGTCATCATCGTGATGAAAGCCTGAAGGTTGAATACCTAACAGTGAAGATCCACTTGAATTGTGGATAGATTTGAAAGGGAGGTTTGGCCACCTCAAAGCAACCGTATTGCCAAGGGCTCGTTATAAATGGATGCACTTACAGTTTCAAGATTATAACACCGTAATTGAGTATAACTCAGCTATATTTAGAATAACTTTCAATGGAAATTATGTGGGGAAACAATAAAAGATGAGGACATGTTGAAAAAGACACTAACTACTTTCCCTGCCTCTAATATGATATTACAGCAACAATATCGTGAAAAAAGTTTTCAGAAATACTCTGAACTGATCTCATCTTCTATTAATTTTTTTTTCCAATTAAATAAACTTCTCCAACCATCGGGAGTGGTTCTTCTGGTGCGTCTGTTCCTGATGTTGCTAAAGGGCCAAATATTTTAAAAGGGCAAATATTCCAGAGCCTAAAGAACAAAAAAAATAGGTCAAATATTTTAAAAGGACAACAAAAGTTAGTTGAAAATCAAAAGGGCAACGCCCGTGTAAATTAGGGTAAGAATACGCAAGACACAACTCCTTATGCGCCTTTACAAGGCGCGAGCTGACAGCATCTTAGGTCTGTTTTCCATTAGTATATATTTAGCTTTCTTCACTAATGGGATTATGGAAAGTAGCTGAACTTCATTACAATTTGAATGCATACATAATATATTTCCAGTTTCACCAAAAAATGTTTCTTTTTCTTATCTCATATCAATATTATGTTCCCATACATGCAATTTTCGTTTTCATAATGAACAATAATGTCATTTTAACTGAGCTGAGTTAACATGATATGATATATAGCATGTATGATCAAATTTCAAATATCAACTTCTTTTAAATAAACATGTTTTTTAAAATACATATAATAAAAACAATTTATTTTGATAATAAATTTGAAAAGCATTGTTAAACAACAATTATTATTTGATTGTATTCTTAAAAAGTGCTTCTAAAGATATACTCAAAAGTGCTTTATGAGAAAAAAAAAAGAACTTTTGTGGAGAAATTGCTTGCTTCAACATTTGCTTCTCCTCAAAAATATTTTATTTTCCTAAAAGCTTGGTCAAATATCTTAATTTTCTTTTTAAAAAAATAAATAATTTTGAGCTAGGAAAATCAAGTTTAACCAACCAGACTATACATTAGACTAAATAGATATACATGATAATGAAAATTTTCAGTCGTGATAAACTAAATTAATCAAGATTAAGATTGAATATCAGATCATCCATTGCCATAAAAGGCTACTTGCTAAAATCAACTTAACAAAAAAACAAATTTTAGTCTTTAATTAGCTTCCTCAATAAGAGAAAAACTTTTATGCAAAGCTCAATAAACCATTTCCAAATAAGAAATTCACCACTAACTATCCAAGATGTTCAACTCAAGAAGTTATCTTCAAATCAACAACGATAACGCTTATGTTATCTTGGCTACCCCGTCCCATAGCTAGCCGAGTAAGCAACGCTGCTGCTGCATTGCTTGGGGAAGAAAATACGTCTCCACTCCCAAATGGCTTTTCTTTTTGAAGGCATTCTCTCGCCACCTTACACGCATCATCATTTGATACAGCCTTCCATAAACCATCACTAGCAAGGATTAAAAACTCATCTTCTGCTTCCCTTTTTGTGAATGTAAACTCTGGCTCGGATGTGATATATTCCTTTAGATACTTGGCTCCTGCTTGCAATGCAAATTAAAAGAAGGAACCACCAAAACTAGTATTTAAATTTCTATACAATAACCCAAATAAGAAATTGTGCCTAAGAAATATATAATCTACAAATTTTAGTTACATAACGACATAGGTTTTTCTTCCTGAATCATCACTAGCTAACCCTACTGCAAAGTCACTGATCAACTTAGATGCATAAAAATTACAACTCAAAAGGTATCAAACCAACTTACTCAATTTTATTCTACTTTTAGTACATGTTGCTCGGACTCTTCAAAAATATCAAGGGTGCATGGGATTCCCCCAAAATAACGCATTTTTGAAGAATCCAAGACAGTGCAACATCAAAAATGAAAAATCCGTGCAACTAACTTTTAGTTGTCATCTTATAAGCAGACATTGAATGAAAGGACATACAACACACATTTCCAACATAACGCCCTAAATAATTTAAATCATGATTGCCTCTATTTCATAAGTATTGCTTCAACTGGTAACTACAATAGAGGATTAAAAGTTTCCTGAAAAAGGAAAAAATGAGTTTACCTATTGCACGAGACATAGCCAGTATTCCTAGAACTCGTGCATAACAATCAAAATCAACATGGCCTCCACATGCCTCAATTCTAGCACGTTCTTCTGGTCTGTCTGGCTGTAATGAAAAGTCACATTATTTGTCAAAGCTGAAGCAAGAAAATAATTGGACATTTCCTTGGCTAAATTTGGGACTTTAACAAAGAGAGAATATGAACATAAATCATTTACAAAAACTCACATTATTTAGTTCCGCCAAAATTATAGCTAGTGTGATTTATGAATATTAAATCAAGTTGTTGATGTAACCAAAAAACATGTAATTAGTTATAATGAAGCTCATATGTATGGAGGGATATCCCTAAGCTAGCAGTTTGTTCAAATCAATTAGACAAAATGCAAATGCCTAGTATTAGAATTAGATATGAACATGTATAGTGAGATGTGGACATAATTCACATTTTCTATTAGGTCGATCAAAAGGCAAAACTTCTTGATATGAAATATTTTATTTTTTTTGAAGTGTTTTACTTGACCTAGATCTGAATTGATTAGATATATAGATTCTTAACTAAATTCTTATAAAATACATACCTTGTGATCAATAGATAGAGGTATGGCTCTCCCACCAGTGCAAAGAACGGCGCGTGAATCTCCGCAATTAGCCACAATAATAGTTTTTTCAGTTAGAATTGTGAGTAGAGCAGTGGAGCCTCCTATTCCATAGTAATGTGGTGGACAGCCACAAGGAACACCTATACCACACTTATAGCACGTATCAAACGCCATCTCATCAATTCTCTCGAAGCAGCTCTTCAACACCCGTTTCCACATCTCCTTAACCCTCTCCCGTTCCAATTGTTTTTGGCTCAGACGGGTGTTGTTGTTGTTGTTGCTGCTGCTGCTACCAGTTATGATGGTCTTCGCCATCATCAATTCTTGTAGTAGTATAAGATACATTCTATCTCTACACAATTCAGCAACCTGTATCCATAATTTTTGCATCCACTTTAATAATCTAGGGTAGTACTCCTAAAATGGATCAATTTTGATTTATAAATTGTTGCTTATCAATAAAACTAAAATGATAACGAAAAAATATGAACGGTGAGAGAAAATAATTGGGTTTTTTTTCCTTACATGAGGTCCACAATGTCCATCGTAAACAGCAAAGAAATCAATAGGGCGATGTTGATTGATATAAGGGGAGCAAAGATTTGGCCAAACAGATATCGCATCTTCCATTGAATTTCTTCTTCCAATCAAAGAAATTGCTCCAACCACTGGCACTGCTGCTTCTGGTGCGCCTATGGGTGATGTTGTTGAATCAGAATCAGAATTAGAATCAGACATCCTGAAATTTGGTACACCAAAATTAATAATGAAAAATTGATCAACAAATGAATTTTCATATAAAAATGTTAGAAACCTTCTCGGAGAAGTCGTCAGTTAGGAATTGTAGAAACCTTCTCGGGGAAATCGTCAGAGAAGAATCAGAAGCCTTCTTAGGGAAATTCTCAGTTATGAGTGAGAAGATTTTTCGAGAAAATCATCAATTAAAAAGGTGCAAAATCCTTCTAGGGGAAATCGCCATTGAGATTGCTTCTTATTGATGCCATTGTTACAAAAAGACATGGGCATTTGTTAGGATTGTGAAAAAGTAATAAGTATATTTTTTTGTATTTTTGTAATCTGTATAGAAGGAAGGAACTCGTGAATGATTTCAAACGTATACTACATGTGTATATACGAATATTTTTATAATTTATATCTGTTTTATATGTAATTTGTATTTCTTCTGTTCACATTTACTGCATGCATTTGTTTTGTTTCTAATATAATAATTCCCTAGTTTCTCAATTAGAGACTAGAGAAGAAAAAAAAATATTTACTTGCTTCTTATAGTGTGAAAACAAAGTGTAGCATCCATATTTTGAGTTTCGAAGTCATGAAAATGACAAGCTTAACAGAAACACAATTAATTTTTCAATCAACTTTTTCCATCTAGTCAAAAAGTATTTATTCTACTTATACAAGAAAAATAAAACATTTAAACATTCTTACGAAATTTGAATGAAAAGTACTTATTATATTTATAAAATGACAGAAAGAGTAAAATAAAAAAAAAACTACTACTATTAAACTGTTTTTTTTGTTCTCAGGAGTTAAATTTGTAGATGAAATCATTAATTTTATTTCTTATATTAAAAAATTAAAAAAGGTACCTCTTTTTTTTTGTCAAAACAACTAATGTAGTGACAGATTTTCACTATATTCGTGAGGTATATTTGAACTTTTTTATTAAGATGCTACTCAAATCGATCGAGCCACTTTTTATCGTGATTTTCACGGTTCGAGGAAGGAACTAATTGAACAATACTTGAATGTGGAATTCATAATTACCTGTTCTATATGTTAATTGGAACAATACAAACATTTGAAGTTTGTTGGTAGATCCCATAACACAACTGTTAATATGTTATCACCATTGTTATTTATTTTATCAACAAGGAAATATTTTTTTACATGCTAGTTGCTTTCAATACATTTCCATAGCTGTTGTTCTGTCTTTATGATAAAGTTGGACTACTTTCAGCTTGTTTAAGTCACTTACGAAAGCCACTTGACTGTAAGGAGAGGACAACCTCTTGTTCCTGCTCCTCTTTCTTCGCTTCGGGGACGGAGGTCCTACGGTAGGTAACAGCAGGTCCTCAAACTATGTCCGAAATTTCAGAGACACACTTATACTATACTAAGGTTCTATTACCCTTGAACTTATTTTATAAATAATTTTCTTCTCCTTTTCGACCTACGTGGCACTAGCTTGAAAAAAAAATCAACCAATATTAGGCCCACGAGATAGGGAGGCAAACAAACTGGCTGAAAAACTAGAATCCCTCAGCCACTCTACGGAGTCTTTACAAATTTACCTATAGTTAAACCCTCCTTCTTTAAATGTAATCTTTTTCAAGTGGCAATACAAAGTGGTATTTATATATTTCTAAGAAATTGTGTCTATGACATTCTTTTTTTTTTTGGGAGAGGTTAGGCATCATATTCCTCTTGCTTTTATATATATATATATATATATATTTTATGTTTTTCTAATACATATATTTAATATACAAGATAGGGGGTCATTCCTAACCCTCATCTTAAAAGTGTTTTTTTTTTCAAAAAAAGGTTTAGGATTGAATGTCAATGCCTGCCTTTGACATAAATATTCTTGAATCAATTAAAAATGACAGAATATTGACTTTATCGATCATATTATTTATCGGTATCAACTTGATAGAAAAGTCGAAATCGAAGTCATTTAAGCAAATACAAATCATTGTCTTAAGCTTCCTCAATAAGAGAACACTTTAAAGTGAAGTTCAATAAACCATCTTCAAATGTGAAATTCCCTTTGGTTGGTTATGCTAATTAACTATCCAAGATGTGCAATTCACAGAGTTACCTTCTTCTCAAGAAATTAAATTTCAATATAATTTATCTTCAAATCAACCACGATGATAACATTGATGTTATCTTCGCTATCCCGTCCCATAGCTAGTCGGGTAAGTAGTGTTGCTACTGCACTTGGAGAGGAAAATGCAGATGGGTTTTATTGTTGAAGACACTCTCTAGTCACCTGACACGCCATTTCATTTGATACAACGTTCCACAAATCGTCACTGGCAAGAATCAACAGCTCATCTTCCTATTTCATATAATCATTAGCCTCTTTTTATGTCGACATTCATGAAAACTACAAGAAATCACCACTGTCAGCTCGAATCTTAAAAGACACATAGGGAGTTGCGTCTTGCGTATTCTTATCCTAATTTACACGGTGTTAAACCTATTGTTTAAATGTTGCCCTTTTGATTCTCAACTTATTTTTATTGTCCTTTTGAAATATTTGGCCAATTTTTTTTGCCCTTTAAGCTCTGGACTATCTTCTCCAAGCCAGGAAGGTGGATAAATTTAAAATATATTAAGACAGGTTAATGTGGAATGCCTAATTAATGACAATAAAAAAAATACCTTTTGCTCACCTCCAAGCTAGAAGTTATTCTATGACAAGATATCATTTGATTTTGATTAGAGGTTTTGGAATTAGCTAAGTTAACATGATATGATATACAGATTGTATGATCAAGTTACAAATAACAACTTGTTTTTGAATAAAAATGTCTTTTTTTTAAAATACTTATAACGGAAAACAATTTATTTCGCTAAATAATTTGAAAAGCAATATTAAAAACAATTATTATTTGATTGTATGCTTAAAAAGTGCTTCTAAAAGTATTACTCAAAAGTGCATTTTGAAAGAAAGAAAAAACTTTTATGGAGAAATTACTTGCTTCAACATTTGCTTCTCCTCAAAAATATTTTTTACATTCCTAAAAAGCTTGGTCAAATATCTTAATTTCTTTATATAAAAAAAAATAAATAATTTTGATCTTGGAAAATCAAGTTTGACCAACCAAACTATATATTATACTAATTAGAGATACATGCACCAAAAACTAAATCAAGATTAAGATTAAATATCACATCATCCATTACCATAAAAGGCTACTTGCTAAAAGCAACTTAACAGAAAAACAAATAGCAGTCATTTATGCAAAATACATACCATAGTCTTTAATTAGCTTCCTCAATAAGAGAAAAACTTTTATGCAAAGCTTAATTAACCATCTCCAAATAAGCTATTTAACTCAAGAAGTTAACTTCTCCTCAAACTAAACTTCAATTTAGTCTATCTTCAAATCAACAACGATAACACTTATGTTATCTTGGCTACCCCGTCCCATAGCTAGCCGAGTAAGCAACGCTGCTGCTGCATTACTTGGGGAAGAAAATACTTCTCCTCTCCCAAATGGCTTTTCTTTTTGAAGACATTCTCTCGCCACCATACACGCATCATCATTTGATACAACGTTCCATAAACCATCACTAGCAAGGATTAAACACTCATCTTCTGCTTCCCTTTTTGTGAATGTAAACTCTGGCTCGGATATGATATATTTCTTTAGATACTTGTCTCCTGTTTGCAATGCAAATTAAAAGAAGGAATCGTCAATACTAGTATTTAAATTTCTATGCATTAACCAAATAAGAAAATGTGCCTTCAGAAATATATATATATATAAAAATTAACAAAACAATTGAATCTACAAATTTTAGTTATATAACCACATAGGTTTTTCTTCCTGAATCGGCACTAGCTAACCCTACTGGAAAGACACTGATCAACTTATATGCATAAAAATTAATTACAACTCAAAAGGTATCAAACCAACTTACTCAATTTTGTTCTACTTTTAGTACACGTTGCTCTGACTCTTCAAAAATACCAAGGGTGCATGTCGGATTCGCCAAAAATAGTGTATTTTTGAAGAATCTGAGACGGTACAACATCAAAAATGAAAAATCCGTGCAACTAAGCTTTTAGTTGTCATCTTTGAATGAAAGGACATACAACACACATTTCCAACATAAGCCCTAAATAATTTAAATTAAATCATGATTTTCTCTATTTCATAACCTAAGATGAATGATGGATATAAGTATTGCTTCAATTGGTAACTACAATAGAGGATTAAAAGTTTCCTGAAAAAGGAAAAAATGAGTTTACCTATTGCACGAGATATAGCTAGTATTCCTAGAACTCTTGCACAATCATCATAAACAACATGGCCTCCACATGCCTCAATTCTAGCACGTTCCTCTGCTCTGTCTGGCTGTAATGAAAAGTCACATTATTTGTCAAAGCTGAAGCAAGAAAATTTAGTTACTTGGCTATGAAATATTTTAGTCTTTTAAGTGTTTTACTTGACCTAGATCTAAATGATACCACTTACAAATTGCATAAAAGAAAAAAATATAGTTAGATCCTTATAAAAAAAAATTGTATAAAAATTATAAAATGCATACCGTGTGATCAATAGATAGAGGAATGGATCTCCCACCACGGCAAAGAACGGCGCGTGAATCTCCACAATTAGCCACAATAATAGTTTTTTCGGTTAGAATTGTGAGTAGAGCAGTGGAGCCTCCTAGTCCATAGTGTTGTGGTGGACAGCCACAAGGAACACCTATACCACACTCATAGCACGTATCAAACGCCATCTCATCAATTCTCTCGAAGCAGCTCTTCAACACCCTTTTCCACGTCTCCTTAATACTCTCCCGTTCCAATTGTCTTTGGAACAGACGGGCAAAGATGTTGTTGTTGTTGTTGCTGCTACCAGTTATGATGGTGTTTGTCATCAACAATTCTTCTAGTAGCATAAGATACATTCTGTCTCTACACAACCCAGCAACCTGCATTTTGTAACCACTATAAATAGTAGTCCTAATTTAATTTATTTTATATCCACTTTAATCGAAGTTAGTGCTCCTAAAAATGGATCAATTTAGATTGATAAATTGTTGCTTATCAATGGAAGCTAGTAAATTGGTAATGAAAAAAATATGAACGGTGAGAGAAAATAATAGATTTTTTTTTTTAATTACCTGAGGTCCACCATGTCCATCGTAAACAGCAAAGAAATCAATAGGGCGATGTTGATTGATATAAGGGGAGCAAAGATTTGGCCAAACAGATATCGCATCTTCCATTGAACTTCTTCTTCCAATTAAAGAAATTGCTCCAAACAGTGGCACTGCTTCTTCTGGTGCGCCTGTGCCTGATGTTGCTGAATCTGAATCAGAATCTGAATCTGAATCATAATCAGAATCAGACATCCTGAAAGTTGGTACACCAAAATTAATAACGAAAATTTGATCAACAAATGAATTTTCATATAAAAATGTCAGAAACCTTCTCGGGGAAGTCATCAGTTAGGAATTGTAGAAACCTTCTCGGGGAAATCGTCAGAGAAAAATCAGAAGCCTTCTTAGGGAAATTCTCAGTTATGAGTGAGAAGAGTTTTCGAGAAAATCATCAATAGAAAAGGTGCAAAAGCCTTCTACGGGAAATGAACGCCATTGAGATTGCTTCTTATTGATGCCATTGTTACAAAAAGACATGGGCATTTGTAGGATTGTGAAAATGTAATGAGTATATTTTTTTGTATTTTTGTAATCTGTATAGAAGGAAGAAACTCGTGAATGATTTCAAATGTATAATACATGTGTATATACGTACATTTTTGCAATATACATCTATTTTGTATGTAGTTTGTATTTCTTCTATTCACATTTGTTTGTAATATAATAAATCCCTAGTTTCTCAATTAGAGAATAGAGTAAAAAAAATGATGAAGTTTTAGTTGCTTGTTATAGTGTGAAAACAAAGTGTAGCATCCATTTTTGAGTTTCTAAGTCATGAAAGTAACAAGCTTAACATAAATACAATTAAGTTTTCAATCAACTTTTTCTATCTAGTCAAAAAGTATTTATAAATAGTTATACAGAAAAATAAAAAATTTAAACATTCTTACAAAATGTGAATTAAAATTACTTATTATACTTATAAAATGACAGAAAAAGTAAAAGAAAAAAAAACTACTATTAAACATTTTTTTTCTTGTTCTCAGGAATTAAATTTGTAGATGAAATCATTAAATTTTATTTCATATATTAAATAATTTAAAAAAATACTCTTTTTTGTCAAAAGAACCAATATAGTGACAGATTTTTCATTACAATTGTATTGCACAAAATTAATATTTTCATGATGAGTTGCTATTCTCAATCGTTTTTCTCTGTATTAAAATGGACAAAAATTTTATACAACTATATAAAAAAGAATTAATCTGTCAAATTTGGACAAAGCAAAACTTGCTTTTAAATGGATGTTTAACTTTTATATTGAGAAGTCATTTTTAATCAAGTGTTTTGCTATCGATATAAGTTGCTCATTTGCTTACCACATAAAAGAGAAGCGCTTTTTCTTTCTTATCTGCAGCAATTTCGAATATAATAATATTGAATCTTTCATATAATATTTGAAAATAAAATAATAATATATTAAAGCGCCACTGATAATAATATATGATACTTGAAACTTTGTCATGTCTTCGAGGTTATAATATTGATAAAGAGTCCTATCCTTTTCCTTGAGTTATGAAATAATTCGATAGACTTTATCAATTACATTATGCATCACTTAGAAGTAATTTAAGACTTTATCAATCACATTATTCATCACGTAGAAGTAGGGTTGTACAAGTCAAATCGAATTGACGAATCAAATCAAATCGAAAAAAATTGAATTGTGATTTGGTTGGTTGAAAAAAAAATCGACCACTCTTAATTTGGTTTGATATTAGAAGATAAAAAGTCAAATCGAACTCAAATCAAGCCAATATATATATATATATATATAT